ATATATATCGAATAAAAATTATTTTCTTGGATTTCAAATTTTAGTTTTCAGAACTCCAAAAATTAATTTAACGATAGGGAATAGGAATTTAGATTAAATTTTTCTAAACAAAGAGGTATAAAAAATAATACCAAATTGTACCGACACTGCTGAAAATATTTGTTAATCGAGCGCATACACGTAAATATATTTCAAGTTAGAAAAAGTGTTGATGCAAGTTTTTTGGTAATGAAATTTTCCTCTCACTATTTTCATAAAAATTTCAGGAGTTGTCTTACAGGTTTCACGACCCCGAGGCACTCTTTTCCTCCTTTTGGATAGCTTTCTTTTAATTGGGGCTGCCCTTGACTTATCTACATCGTTTAATTTTGTTACATTAGAGACTTAATAACACTTATGTTTACCTAAGTGCTGCTGTTGCAAGTTCTTGTATTTTTAATCTATGTAATTTTCCGATCTTTTATTTCCTAAAATAATGAAAGTGATTCAAATGTTTCGAAAAGTACATATTTTTATGGATGTAAGTTTTATAAATTTAGGCATAACATAAATAATTTTAATGCTTCTCTCAATTTTTTTAAACTTCATTGAAAAAAAGTTTTTTAAAAGAAATGATCGTCACATTAAATGAGAGTCATATTAGGCAACATTCATTGGACAATCATAGAAATGGAACAAATTGTTTATTGCCTACTTTAGAAAAATTTCTTAAGAAAATAATCTGCCATGAATTAAATCACTCTGTATATATTTAAAATAGGAATTGCTGTTTTTTTTTTTTTTAAATTTAATAATTCAAATTGTCTGCGAAAAACTACATTATTGGTGTTTCATGGTAGAAAATACGTGTTTTTAATTATAGTGAAAAATATAACAAAATATTGGATTTTTTAAACCCAAAAATAGCAAGCAAATAAACAATTGATTATGTAGGAGGTTTATTAGAACTTAATATATGTTTCATATAATATTACAGCTAGCACGAGTCAAAGGAATTTTTATTGTAGGGAAACTAAGTAAATTACTAGAAAATTGTTAAGCTATATCCACACTTTCTTTGTTTTACTATGCATTGGCAATCGTGAATACTTAAAGTGAGATTAATATGAAAAACGTGCTTTTTTACCTTGACGGTAACTATTACATTTATAATGAATTTATTTTAAATAGTAAACGATGGTTTATCGTATATCACTGTATATTGCATCAATATATCGTTTATGTGCAAAATTTAAAAGTACGAATTTAAAGTATTTCTTAAGGATACAGAATTTTAAAAATAAGGGAACACATAAATTAGATTATTGCAAGTAACTGAACAATTTTATGTATTTTAACAGTTTAGCTAAATGCAAAAGCTCATGATTCAATCATGATTACACTTAAATAAATGGATACTTAAGCTAAATACGTATTATAAATAATTTGACAGTTTTTTATTAGTGGATATTTTCTTCATTTACAAATGTTTTTAATTTCTACATTTATTTTAAGTGCTGCATGATAAAAGTAGTTTCACCTTTTTCCATTTTTTCATTAAGTTGCAAAAATAATGATTTTTTAATTGAAATGTATCTCCCTAATTACCTTAAAGAAAGGGAGTGAGCGTGTGGATCAAATTGAAAAAGTTTACTTATTTTTTCCAAAAATAGCAGAAATTGTACTTTTTTTTATATTCAGCTAATGAGTCTTCATTACTTCTCAGATTCTCTGATTAAACACATTTTGAGTTTTTCTTTTTAAGAATAAGGAAGCAACAAAAATATCTGTTTGAATTAATTAATTTTTTGCAGTTTCTGAACATTTGATTTCTTGTTTCACAATAATATAATTCTTCGTTGGTCGCGCATTTAAGATCAAAAAGCAAAAACAGATTCAGTTCATTTTAATTTTTATGAAAATGGCGATTGGATTGTCACCTGTTGTATTTTGAAATTTACTCAGTTTTGACAAAACATTAACGTGAAAATCGAATTTCCCCGAGAGTTTATCACACAGTGAAGTGCTGTTGAAAAACGATTCTTGTCCGCGAGTACTTCTCAGTATCTGCTTTCATGAACATAAACCGTTCTTTTCCATTAAATCCTCAAATGAATTCTAATCCATACCTTCTCGTTGATTATTACTGCATTTACTAACACATACTGATTATTACTATATTAACTAACTCATATACTGATTAATACTGCGTTTACTGACACACGCTAATTATTTTATCACCGATATTGAACAGCCAGTCCATATGGGATTTGCGGCTTTGTATGTTTAACTCCCCAGCCGGTACAATTTGAAACCTGACTCAGATAACGAGAAAGCAATCATTCTGAAAGATGAAATTTTGATGGAACTAACCCGCAATTGCGATATATGAAGAGGAAAACTTCGAAACTTTTCCATGATTGGACCAACAGGAAGGAAATTCTTACCCTGATCCGTCTACCAGAGGATATTTTACAACGACATTGAGATCGGTGCTACACTGGGGGAAGCTGATGGTCGAAATTCGAAACTGGGTCAAATTGGGAGGCAAGCACTCCATACCGAATTTACTAACACATGCTGATTAATTCCACGTTTATTGGTATTTTTATTCGTGTACAGTCGGTATATTTTATCTGGGCTGATAAAACTCGCCTTTTATTAGATTTTTTTTAAAAAATTTGTTTTGAAAGAAAGGGAATATAAGGTTATTAATTATACAAAGTTTATGACTAGGTAGTTGTAGTGAAATCGCACATCAGTTTTCCTTGATTATTGTTTTCATTTGGATCTATAATTGGAAGTAAACTTTTTTAAATGCAACTTAATTTTACGAACAATACAAAATTAACGAAATTTTCAATTTTTTTAATTTTTTTTATTTCTTTTTTCTATTTATTTATAGAGAAAATCTAATGCGAATTCGCAAAAAAAATGCTTGATTTGTTGGAGATAAAGCAGCATTTTTATTAAAGAGCACATTTAAACAGAGCGACACAGAATAAATTAATTTGAAGCAATTTTGGACAAAATGTGTCTTTTTTTTTATAAATAGAGCAGATTGGAGCAATAAACTTGTAATTGCTTTTAATACCATTGGAAAACGTTATCATTTGGGTTTTACAAGAGAATTCTGTGCCAAAGGCGGTAATTTAAAACAGAATTTAGCTTATTTTCTAATCTCCACTCTGAATGTGCATTCTTAAAATCCTTGTCAAAAATGAAGTAACAAAACACTTTAGGGATTGTATTTTAATAAAGTAAAAAAAAAAAGGAATATTTAAGCAAGAAATAAAATGCTCCCAAAATCTGGGATATCACTTCAAAAAGGCTGGTGTAAAAGAATAAAAACCAATTTGATTTTCAGTTGAAATTTGAAAGTGAAAACTTAACGTTTCCTCATGCAATGGTACAAATTTTAATGCCTTTAAATATATGTTCCTAAATAGATTATTCATCAGATTACAATAGTTCTTTTGTGTTTCCTTTACTTAAACTTGAATTTTAAACCTCTAATCTGCGTATTGTTTAGCTCATTTTAATAAGGATTACGAAAATGCACTTTAAGGGCGGTGATTAATGAACACCCTGTGTGATTGTGCGTGTGAAAAAGTTTCTAAAATATCAAAAATTTGCAAGGGTTCTCCAACTTTCTAGTATTTATCTCTCTCCATCTTCTTTTTAATTCTGTAAGTCCAGTAAATTTGTGAAACTTATTCTCTTTTTTTAGGGTGAAATTTTTTCTAATTAAAATAAGAAGAAAAAAACGGTGAACTGCGAATTATTTTTAATCATTAGCTTTTTTTGTAGGGTAAACACATAATTTTACAGAAATGGTCCGATCTCGGAAAAAAAGTGTTTGGGCTCCAAATTTTTCGGAAAGTTTTGACACCTTTTTAAAAGATTCTTAATATTTTTCGAGTTTTTAAGGGGGTTCGGTACCTCCTATGTTGACAATGTTAAAATGGCATATTTCGATGTACCTTTTTAAAAAAAGTATCGTAGTTAGAGCTTTGAAATTTTTTTTGTGTATGTAATAGATATTCTAGATTATACTGAAGTGAACTTTTTTATTTCGTGAATTAAAAGAAATTAAAAAAAAAAAATTACACAGCATGTCAGAAAATTTTAAAAGCTTCACATTTTCATCCGAAAATTTTGAATTAAAAAAATATTAAGTCTCTCTAAAAAAACTGCTCACTTCAGCACAAACTACAGTACTAAAGGAACTTTTTAAATCAAAAANTTAAGCGCACTTCTACGTGGATTTTAAACAAAAGCAATATATCATTAGAAAGCTAATAGTTTCTAGTTTAATTATTGATCAAAATCTCAAAT